ACACACACACACACACACACACACACACACACACACAGGTGTGTGCTCATATAAAAAGAGGAATTGCTGCAGTTATAAAAAAATCAAAACCAAACTTCAACAAGATACATACAGCAAGGAGGACATCACTATAATACCGGCCTCAATAGTTAACAGCTTATAACATATCATGAGCTGTGATGACACAAAAGGGTCATCCAGTGTTTTACCTCCTTCATTAGAGTCAGGCCCTAGGTTTCAGAACCATGGATGTGGGAGGCCCCATGATTACCTGCTTGTTCCTCGTCACCATCCACGGGAATAACTGCCTGCCTGTGAGCTGGAGTCTCGTGTCCACTCTCAGCCACCACCTCTCCATCGTCTTGCACCATGTCCTCCATCTCGTTCAACGCTTAAACAGAAACAAACACGGTCAAAGTCAAACCAGGAGAGCTCTACACTGACCACAATGGCCAGCAACACTGCGGCCCCCCTGAGAGATGAACAGCCCCGTGATTATCAGGCCCACTCTGGAAGAAGAGCATGTAATTGTGCTTCATTAGATCAACATTAACAAGAACCGTCCAATTCTTCTGCAGGAGAGGAAATCAGATAGGAAAGGATCAGTTGTTGGAGAAAGTCCATCACTGTGCAATGAAAGCAAGGACAAAGGCACACCGCTGAGAGAAAGCACCAAATTCATTCCTGAAGATGTTCCCAGGGATGCCTGTGTCAGGCAACTGTCTCCTTCTAAGCTGTTTGCTTGAAGGGAGTGAGAGACAGCTAATGGAAGGTCTTAGAGTCACAAGAATTAGTCTTGTAGCATCTGCCAGCTGAACTAGGATGTGCCGGGCAGGCAAGCGCAAGCTGTGCGTACGTTTCTTTTCCTACTCTCTCGAGGCTATGGTATCATTTTTGGCTAAGGATTATTAACAAATACTCCAAGTACTTTTTTAACATTTTAATATCACTCAAGTGTTTTATTTGCACCAAAGTCTTCGCTACAGTTATCAGTGCCTATTAGTGAAGAAGAATGTGTGATTTTATTTAAAATTTTCCAGAGGATAAGTGCAGTGAACACTTTCAGACTGGTAAGCTTTGATCTGTTTATTATTCTTAAGATAAAATGGTCCCTTTTCTAAGAGGACGCTAAATGAAATAATTCCTGGCTTTCCCGGCTTTTTAGAAGATTAAATCCAATCCCTCCAGTCAGCATTCCCGGACACCCTCACTGCCTGAGCCTGTGAGCCGGATCGCAGTTGGAGTCAGGGCAACGCCAATGCCGTCCTACACAGTCCCAGCTCGGACACAAGCCGGAGGGCAGTGGACGTCTGCCCCTCTGTCCAGGGGTGCTCAATACCAAGTGCGGAGAAATAAAGCCACCGACCATTTCAGTGAAGTGAAAACACCAACAGAAGAGGCAGAAGATCCCGTTCCTGAAAGACCTAAAGCATCTTCCTAAGGAGACAAGCCAAGTTAATGCAAGCTGAAGTTCAAGACATCAGGGCGGAGCGATACAGCGGGTGCTCTGCCTCATTCTGGGGCTGGTCCAAAACTACGTCGAGTCCAGGCGTGAAAAGTTTTAAAATGCTACATTTAGGAAAGTCAACCAGTCAATACCAACTTCAAACTAATTTTAAAACTACTGTTATATCTGCACCTAAAGAGTAGAAATATCAGGGCGGCTGATGAGCTCAGCTGGTTAGAGCGCAGTGCTCATAACACCAAGGTTGCCGGTTCGATCCCCACACGGGCCACTGAGAGCTGCGCCCTCCACAACTAGATTGAAACAACTATTTGACTCAGAGTTGATGGGTCCTGGAAAAACACACTGTCCACCAATTAAAAAAAGTACATAAATAAATGAATTAATTAAAAAAAGAAGAGTGGAAACATCAATGTTAGTAATTTCAACTAACTAATTCTCAGGGGTCCCCCTTTTATTCTGAATCCCTGCTCTCCTTTTCCCTTCTTTTTTTATTTCTTTCTTTTATTTTGAATTCTTTTCACTCCTGTTTTGGTCAAAAGTTACATAGCCTTTCTCCAGCTCCTTAGCTTTTATTTAAAAGAATCAACCTGATATGTATGTAATAATTAATTCAAATAATATACCACCAACTTGGAGAGACCAGCGAACCTAACGTTTTATACCAATCTTTATTTTTCTACAAATTCTGCCCCCATCTTTGGTGTTCTTAGGCTTCCTCTTGTTCAGGCTGTTTAATTCTTCAATCTTGGCATTGATGGAGCTCATTCCTTTGCTGTCCAGCCTTTATTATAGCATTCTGAGATATTGTATTTGACAATACTGTACCTCAATATTTGATTTATATGCAAGTCTCTCACCAGTTTAAACCTTAAATTTCCAGTGTTAGCAGACTGAAGTTCCCTTGTTCTCTCTTGGATCACACACAGTGTTCTCACACATGTTCTGGTCCCTGCTGCACTGATACGTAATTTCACAGTGGAAGGCACTCTCCATTCTGTGCTGAGAAGCCTGTAGCCATGTCAACTCCAGTGGAGTCTATCTGTCCAGTGCATCAACTCGAACCACAACTGCATTCACGGGACTTGGGTGGTTCCATACTGCAGCTGCTGTAAGCTTCCCACAGACGGTCTGTCCGCTCAAGTCCACAGTGACCAGTATGATGGCACTCAGGGACAACAAGGCAAAGAGATGATATCTGGCCTCACTCGCCATCCTTCATCGCAGCACCTGCTGGCTCTGTCTGTACTTTTCTTTTTGTATTTTTGGGGGAGGGTGTCAGGTGAGAGATTTAGATATAAGTCTGCAATGCCTAAGAGTACTCAGGGAAATGAAAATTACAAAGCTAAATCTAACGACGATTATTTCAAAAAGTAGGAAGATCAAGGCTGGAGATAAAGGTTTAGAATTCAGGGCCGGCCGAGTGGCTCAGTTGGTTAAAAGCTCACTCGAGAGTGCGAGCTCTGAGCAACAGCGGTTCAAGTCCTGCCAGAGCTGAGCTGCCAACAGGTGGCAGGATGCCTCAGCAAAAAAAAAAAAAAAAGTTTAGAATTCATTAGCGCACATTTGGTGCTGAAACCATGATACTGAATGAGCTCATCTAGAGAAAATGTTTAGAGATCAAAGACAAACGTGGAACAGAGGAAGCGGTACAAGCAAAGGAAACTGAAGAGGTGTGTCCAGCGAGACGGAAGGGAAACTCGTAACATGGTTTCACAGGTGCCAAGAGAAGAAAATATCTCAGGAAGGTAGAATTGGCAAAAATGACAAATGCTGCTGAGATGTCAAGTGAGATGAATGTGGAGAAGTGACCAGTAGCTTTTGTAAGCGTCACCTGTGAGGTGAAGACAGTGAAGACAATGCAGACAGGTGGCTCCTAGATTAGGACCTGCACACTCTGAATGACCTAAAGGAAACCATGCTGTATCCACAGTGTGCTTTCATTATGAAAGCGATCATGTAACATCAGAGCTCCCTGTTTCTCTTTAATTACTGCACCTAAGAGAACGGGTGAGGAGAGATTCCCTTTCCATTTCTTAAAGGTCACCTGGGGAAGCGGAAAACCTTGTAAGGAAACAATCTCACTGCATCCTACTCATCAACAGAGGGGCAGATGAAGTCTAATGACACAGGCTGGCACGCGGCAGTTGTTCAGTCAACATTCAAGAATTGGATGGACAATTACATAAGCAAAATCTAACAGGTCTTTTTTAGCTCACGTGCTTAATTTGCTGAGTGGTTGTGAAGGCTTAATAATGCAAGGTAAAGTGTGAAAGACATCCAACACAACGTCTACCACATGACTGGTATTCCTTTTTCTCAGTTCTGGGGACATCCAAAAATGGTGTGCACATTCAAGCTCACTGTACCTATCTACTGGTCAGGGAGTTACTAAAGATGCTCCTTTGCCCAAATCCTGAGCTAAAACCTCAGTGAAGCCAGGGCTCTGAGGCTCATTGTTACCCGATTTCCCACGGCGTCTACGAGTCCTTCCCGTCTTGTAAGCACCCTTACAGATTCTGTGGACACGAGGCATTACATAGAGAGCTCTGAAACAAGAAAGCAGAGAAGCAAATTTTGTCCACCCCCTTACTGTCTCATCCACTAGGACCCCAAAATGTAAAGTGACGAAACAGGGGGAGAAGGGAACAGAAACAGAATCAGAGAAACATGATCCAAAGTAAAAAATCATTTCTATCTGGAGCTCACAAAAGGTCTGGGTTACCGTCGGCTGCAAACTGCTGCTCTCCTGCTTGGAGATCTTGCCGGAAGTCATTCTCCTCATCCGAGTCATCTGGGTGATGGTGATTGTTGTCATGGATGTTGGCGTTATTCTGGGCATTATTATCATTGTCGTTGTTGGAGTTCTGGTTGCTCACAAGGGCGGAGGACACCCCAATTCCTGTGCCTGCACTCAGACCAACTCGAGCACAGCCCTAAGGCAAGACAGAACCACATGCTTATTAATTATTAATATCCCTTCAATTCATCTCTATTATTTATATAGCACCTTATTTATGAAATGCTTTTACTATGCATACAGGACTTCATTTAAGGCTCACAACACTTCAAGCAAGACAAATTGCTATTATTCTTGATTTACAGATGATGAGATGCACAAAGGGAAGAGATCTGCCCAAGAGCACATGACCAGTAAGTGGTATATCTGGGACCTGACACCCAGTATTCTGACCGCAAATCCTGAACTTTCCCATGTCTCCATTAAAAACTGGTAAGACAGAACATAATTAGTTGACACATTAAGTTTTTATTATGGCAAGAATATAAATTTTATATATTAGGCCGTTTTAAAATAACACTGTGTACAATTGGGCAACCTCAGATTTCCCAGGATATACAACTGAATAAAAAAGCAGCAAAGGAAAACATTTCTGAAATAAATTCTTAATCCTTATTTATATTTTGGATTCCTGATTACAGATTTAATCTCCGAACTAATTACTCCAAGTAATAATTTGTCTTCGCTTAAACTTCCACCTTTGCTCTTCCCTTCCCTTCAGTTTATAGAACTGATGGAGACAGCTTTCCACTTGCTTTTTCCCTTTCCCTTTCTTGAAAACCTCTTAATACTCATTTACAAAAACAAGAGGCCGTGCATTATTATAACCTTTATGCTTTCACTGAGGCTGGCAGTAAAATGTCCAATCATAACATTGTAAAGGCATATTATTAGAAAGAAAATAAAAATCACGTAGGTTATTTTGTTTTCTTCCTTGAGTATCAAAATAAATAAACAAAAACTCTCTCAAATGTGATTTACTTTGGGTGGTTCACGAAACATCTGGTCCAGTGAAATAAACTCCAGGCTGGGCAACAATTCAACAAACTGACCAAAGGAATCCAGCTTCAAAGCGTGGCACCGCACTAAGTTGATATCGACCAGTCGAGTCCATCTTGAGTGGTCTGTGGACGAAACGGACAGAGAGAATAATATAAGTAACACTTTCTCCACTATTGATGAATTTTGTCATGAAGACTTTCAAATTCTGTTTCCTTAAGGAACTTTTTTCTCATGATCTCTAAAACTTGGTGACTCTATACTATAATATTTCCTTACCTAATTTCATTGCGAGAACTAGATATAGCTTGGGACTCATTAACTTGAAGCCAAGTCAGCCTTGCTTTAAATGTAACCCACTCTACAACCTACATACCTATTCAACAATGGGACACTAGTTAAAGAAATACTGGTGCATTCATTTAATGGAACATTATGAAGCTATTAAAAGATTGAAGGAGAACTGAATATGCTTGCTACTATGCAAAGCTCTCCAAGATATTTAGTACAAAAGACAAGTTACAGGACAGTGTATATATGTAGCAGGCTCCTTTTGTATATATAAATCATTTTTAAATACTACATATGTATGGGCTGCAATATGCACAAAATAATCTGTCCAGAAGAATATACAAGAAACTGTTGACAGTGGTTACCTTTGAGAAGAGGAGACTTTTCATTTTGTACCTTTCTGTACTGTTTGATATTGTTTATCAAGTGCATGTATTACTTTTAGTTTTTAAGTGTTAACAGGAGTTCTGAGTGATAGGATTATAGGCCATTTTTTGTGTTCTTCTTTATAGTCTTCTGTATTTAAGAAAACAAACAAATCAAAAACCCAATAAATGTTATTTTTTAAAAGAGATCTACGCCTGCTACAACCCACAGTTCGTATTTCCCAGTAGCTACCTGGTGCAGTTGGGCCAGGGACACAATTTCACTTCTGGTGGGCGAGACACGGCCATTCTAATGAGTGACGTCAGCAGAGGCCCCTGAGCCCCATACAGGCCTGGAGATGGACTTTGTGAGAACTACAGTGTCCCTGAGAGACGAGGCCGACAGCAGAGGCACATGAGGATCGGGGGGCTAAGTTTGGTTCAAGAGGGTCTCACAATGAAAAATCTCTAGTTCTGAATTTTTTTAAAAGTTTGTGAATTTAGGTATTTAAGGAGAGCCTTTAAAGAATTAAACAGCATTCCTCTCAGAGGGAGGAAAATGAACGCTGCCCATACGGAAAAATATCAAGGGCAAAAGTCACTCTTGTGTACACAGGAGATCAGGTGGGGGGGGGGGTCTGAAAAACCCTAGGATTTTCAGGCAGTAGAAAATTTCACTAAAAGTTCATGTTTAATATGTCAATTAAAAGTATTTTTTAAATATATATACTCACTCTGTCCTTTCAGGTGTGTCATTTGAAGGTAATTCAAAGAAAACAACTATAATATCCCAGGCAACGATTTCTAACCTTCTTTTCATGTGCCTGGCCCAAGGAGATATCTATAAGGATCAGGACACTTGAATTCATGACCTGGACAGTGCAAATTTCTCGGCAGAAAACCTGAACTCCAGGAGTTCAAAGAGGCACTGAGTATACCTCCAACTCAGTTATCAAAAGTTTCCAGAACATGAATGAACAATCCAATTAAAATACCTACATTTTACATTAAGATGTAATTCATAGCACGCACAGAAAAGATACATACTATCTCAACATAAAATATAGCAGTATTTAGGCCTACAGTACCTGAGATCCAATTGTACGGGTTATGTAGATGGGGGCAATTGTAAATTGCCAGATATTTGATACAGGAAAAAACTTCATTGACTGCCTTCATCCCTATATCGGTGATGATACCAGGATTTTCTACTACATCAGCCAAACCATACTTCACCAGATCTGCATTAGCCATTCTGCCTAGAAAGAGAAATCGATTAAAAAAAAAAGAGATTCTTAAGTGTTACGAAGTGCTCATAATACTTGATATTAACAGCCAGTATGATCACTCTCACTCTGTGATAATTCTGTGCCATCTGTCCATCACCAGGTTCAGGTTCATGTACACTGTTAGGTTAGGTATTCTGTATGAATGGGAGCATTTATTTTGCAAAATAAGAATCTCTATTAAAATCAAGGGACAGCTAGTAAGAAAATAATTATTTCCAATTGTTTAGAAAAGAAAGCAAAAATCTTAAAGCAAAACTGAAGGATATATACTAGTTCACATTTATAGGGATGTTTTAGTTTTGTCTTTTAGAAGAAAAATGTTAAAATGTAACTCTCTCAGTGTCAGGGTCAAGTTTTTGGAGCTGGTGCGGCCATGGGTAGGGAAGAAGAAACTTTGGGAATTCAGATTCATTTTCAGGGCCCATGGCATTGGTTAGTAAATCTGTATCTATGCCCAGAAAGTGGACTTCTAACTCAAACATGCCGTCTCTCTGCCACTGGCTTCAGTGCCTACGGCCTTGTCACACACTAGGCGGTAAAGCAGAAGGGGGTCCTCCATCCTGGTTTATGTCATTGGAAGTCACATCTCATTCCGTGTCTCCTGTCACTGTTTCTCCTATCCACCTGTCCTTTACTCTCCAGGATGGTCCATTTGACTATGAAAAATTTGAAGAAAGGAAAGGAACTATATCTAGTTAGATTACATACAGTTACAGTTCCAATGTCCAGCATAGTGCTGGGATATAGGAACTCAAAATGAATCTCTCAGTCCTTGCAATCAACTGGCACAAAGTGCAGAGAAAACACAGTTGCGCTGGTGAAGCGCCGTGCACATCACAAAGACTTACACCTTCAGCTCGGAACAGGCTCAGAACAGCCAGCCTATCCCAAACTCTTCCAATGTCACTTCCCACATAGTTCATGGTCTCTCCACTGTAAATCCCCCTTTTTGATTATTTACTGGCATTTCTTGCCGATCACCGTAATCCATTCTTTCCAGTTTTGAAGAGCAATTTTCTTTAGCTTCCTGGTAAAACCCTTTTTCTTGCTCTTGGGACTCTACACCTGCCTTTTCCCTTGGGATCGGGGAAATCTTGTACAGACTTTGTTCCTTGGGCGCTGTCTGCATAAATACTGTAGGCTCACATGACAAATCCATGTCTGACTTTCATTCCTTTGAGAATACCACTGTGTTCCTGATCTTGGGGTCCTCCTGTCACACTCTCTCAAAACCCTGATGACACCACCACGGACTCATTTTTGTTTCTTTTTTAAATTCAGCCCATTGGTGTGCTAAAAGTAAAAGCTACCATTACTGAATGATTTCTAAATGCCAGAGATTGTAATAGTTAAAGTCTGTCTTTTCTCATTTGTTAAATGAAGATAAAACCATTTAACAAATGAGAAAACACGGACTTCACAAGTACTTGCTCAAGGTCCATGATAAACAATACGCAAGTTCATCTCTCTCCAAAGCCCCAGCACTAAAGACTACTTTATACAGCTTCTGGTTTTTAGTGTGTTACATTTCTATCACCTTCACATGAAGCCCTGAGATCAAAAATCTATGTAAACAAAGAACTCTTCTCTAAGTATTCATCCTTGGGTCACTTTTCTTATATTCCTAATACACAGCATCTGTTTCTCAGCACATCCATTTGTCCCCAATCTGGCACAGTCATTTTTTCCATAAATTATGGGGGACAAAGGTGATATTTCTATTTATATTTTGCCAGACCCTTTTTAACAAAAACATGCGCACATTTTACCAGGGGCTACCCCCACCTCCTGGAGAGATGCTTCAAAACCTAAACTACCGAGAAGGATGAGAGTAAGTGAAAGGATGTGAGCAGGGAGGGACCTTTCAAGAGGTCCCTGGCACTATTTTGATGCAGAGAATCCTAGGCTGCCTTTGGAGAAACAGGAAAGTACGTACACGGGAGAAATGGATGAACTGCGCAAATAGGAAGAGAAAAACAGCTTATAAAAAGATCAAAGCTAAGAGTCTATTAAATATGAATGAGACTATGGAAGAAGTTATACTGAAAAGTGTAAGATAACGGTAGTCAAAAGGTAAAGTGTTTTTCTAATGAAAATGTGTGTTGAGGGGTAAGAACACTATAGGGAAATAATTTGGTTATACAGACAATTCAAAGACAACCTTTCCCTGGGTCTAAACGTGGCTATCTCAAAGATACAAAGCTTGTCAAGTTTTGAGCTTTCGAGAAGAACAAAAAAAACAAAATTATAGAAAAGAACACCAATTACCAAGCTAATAATTTTGTTAAGTTACTACATAATGTTGCAGAAAGATGGAGAATGTTAGCAACCTCATTCAAAACCAGAAAAGCTTGGTATCAAATAAAGCAGATCCTCGAATAACAGCATTTTGTTATAACACTGATGAGATGCCACAGGAACTCGTTCATATCCATTAGCCTAGGGTAAAATTGGTCTCATTATACGCACATCGTTTTGTCACAGTTCCAAGAACTTATCAAGGACGTTAAGGGAGGACTTACTGTACACTGATTTTTCCATGGAATTACTATGCCTGGTTAGCATTTTAAAGCTATGTTGGTGAAAAGCTGATCTTTTTCAAAACTGTACAGAATAAAAGTGATTCCTGTGTTAAACTGGCTAGATGCTGATTTGATTTTTTTAATCCTTCGCCTGTATTAATGAGAACTGCAACAAAGTAAAAAACCAAACAAAACGAAACAACTATTATTGGGGCATATATGAGAAATGAAAAAGGATAACAGCCATGCTGTTTGACCCATACTATCCTGACTGGAGTAATTAAGCCTTACGGTCTTCAAAGAAGCAAGTTAGATCCAAAGAAAAAATGCCACTTGGTGTGATAGTGACTTTAAGACAGACTTGTTACAAATTACATGGGCAGAAACTAATTGTTGCAAAAATAAAAACATGCTGGTGTTCTTGCATGTCTAACTAAGGTCACATGGGAAAAAAAGTTTGAATAATGAATCGACATGCATTCAAACCCAAAGGAATGAGTTCCCCATTGTAGATACATTCCAGGAAATGCTGTGAACAAGCCCTTCACCAGCAATCATCATTAAATGAATACTGACCATTATGTGCTCACACTATTTGGAAAATCCAGAACCCCCAGCGGGCTTATTATGGAAATGAAGAGCATGGGCAGGGAATGGGACCTCATCTGAGAGGACCATCAAAAGCTTCAAGAAGTGTGGCAGGTCAAAGTCAACAAATGGAACCAAGGATGGCATTCTGTGAAAAAATGAAGCAGAATGGGAAAGAAACTTGGGCAGCAAAGTGGAGACAGTATCAAATGTAGATAAGGATCTTTCTTTTGGTAAACTGTTAATCACTACATCTTCTAGAATATGCTCAAATCTGAGGCAATGTTGGAAAAATTCACTGACACTTCCAAGTGTAAATTAAAAATTTCTTTTTCAAGAAGAGCACCTAAGATCTTCAGTTTCCTTATATTCCTGATAATATGGCACATCCCAATTCAGGTTTCAGCTTGTCAAGTAAGTTCCCTATAGTAATTCTAGGGAATAAAATGGGATAAGTCTTACTCTGTAGCAAAAACTCATCTACATATCCCAGATGAAGGGTTTCGAACTGGGGGAACTCCAACTCTGCCATCTTTAGGGCAGAAAAGACACCATCTTTGGTTAAGGAAGGCTGGATCCGAACTTCATGTAACCTATAAACAAAGAAATACATTTCAGAGTAAAATGAAAGCCATCAGGATCAAAGGTCTTTCTAATGTAAGGCTCTGAAAGAAGTTTATCTACTGAAGTGTCAAATGCAAACAACTTCCCCCCCCTCCATTAAAGAGGTGTTTTCTTTAAAGGAGCATTTTGTGAAGTGTGGGTACATCTTAGGAGGCACACTGAAGTTACAGTAAATAACAAAGAACTACACAGTAAAGATCATAAATCCTTTCCAATGCTTTCTTAAATCTGATTAAGTCAAGGAGATCTGATTAATCTGTGCCTGGCACTGATATGTTTATAACATAAATTTTTTTTGCTAGCTGTTAAGTCCCATTTTAACAAAGAGTATAAGTTCTACACTATGTAACAAAACCTACTAAATTAAACTTAGAAATGGTTTTATTTATACTCTAAATATTCCACTGATGTAAGAGTTTTCTTTTTCAATAAACTGAAAAAATGGTTAATTCAATTTAAATATTATAAAAGTGAAAGTAGAGGCACTTGATAACATAGGAAATAGTAAACGTGGCATACAGTGATATGAAAACGTGTTACAAACATAAAGGTGTTACAAGGTCAGGACTTTGAAAGAGCTGATTTAAAACACTGATTTCTAAATAGCAAATATTATCTTCAACTAACTAACACAATTCATGAAATTGCAGAGGTTGAGATAATGCTTCCTGAGAGGGCTGCAGGCACCAGAGCATCAATGCTGACTTCTGCGGGACTCGCAGGCACTTCCAGATAGGTGACTGCTTCCCTCTGATGAGACCATGCCGTTTCAGAGCTTGCTGGGTCTGGAGTGCAGCTCAATTGGTCATCAGTTACAACATAAGGCTACCACTAAGTGATAACCCTGCTGCTATGTAAAACAATTCCTTTGTATTTTAAAGCTGAACAAGGCGTGATCAAACTTCATACACAAATTTCCCCTAATTTTTGTAAAACAGAAACAAAAAACATATGATTCTAAACAAAAGACACAATGTGAAGAGGAAACATACCTACGGGCAGCAGTGATGATGAGGTAACCAAGATCTACTTCAAGAGCATTTTTGCAAGCTCCCAAAACAATAGTGTGCAAATTTCTAAAACCACCTAGTTAGAGGAGAAAAGGAAGAAACAATAAACATTTCGCTTGACCACAGCATTTTTATTAAAGCATTTATACACACTTTAGATAATTATTTGTTTAAAAGTGAGTCTGTTTTTCCACTGATACTAATATCTCAAGATGAATTATGACTACTAGCCATCTCCTAAAAAAAAGATGAAAACTGTCATTCTGAAAATACATTCTGATGGCATCTAAAAATTAGTCCAAATTATTTAGACTTTTAAGTAAGAATTCATAGAGAGCCAGAAGCTCACGAGGGAATTGTAAAGAAGAGATCCTGACATTTTTCTGGCCAAAGTTTGAACCTCCAATGCACAGGAATAAGACCAGTGCTACTTTAATTTCAACTAGGTTTTTTTTTTTCATGCTTTTGAAATTCATACAGAAGGTGCCAAAAAAATGTATACACATTTTAAGAAAGGAAACAAACTATTAAAATTATAATACTCAATGTACACCGATAACAAAAGATGAATACAAGTCATGTGTATACATTTTTTGGCACCCCTGGTAGAGCAGAAAAAGTACACAAATCATTAATGTATACATAGTTGGATGAATTTTCACCGAAGATTGATTTGTTTGTTTTGAACTTTTATAAATAAAATCACACAGTATGTACATTTTTGTGTATGGCTTCTTTTACTAAACATTTTGTTTATGATATCCATCTACATTGTTGCATATAAGCTACAGTTGTTCATTCTCATTGCTGCACAGTAGCCCACTGCATGAATCTTACATTTTAACTTTCCATGCTATTGCTGATAGGCATTCAGGTTGTTTTCACTTTAGGGTTATTATGAACAATGTTACTATGAACAATCTTGACCAGTCTCCTGGTGAACACATTGTATGCATTTCTGTTGAGCTTAAAGTATCATTATCGTTAATACTGTTAATGATAATGTCTATTTGTACAAATGGTACTTGATGATTTTCCATTTATACTTTGAATATCCAAAGTTAGATTTATAGTTCTCAACTATTAATTATCCATCTAGCCAAATTTCTTGGTATTTTTGTTGCAATGAGAAGACAACACAGAGAGCATTCTATTATATATCATTATTTAAAATATAAGGGACCTAGAGAGTAAAATATGATTTTTCTTAAAAAGCCATCATCTGGTGGATGGATCTATATCCAAGTGATAAACAAAAAGGCATTTTATATACTATAAAATATTAAACAAATGTTACATATTGACATCACTAAACCTGAGTTCTTCAGTAGGCCCAAGCTATCCAAGTCAAAAAACATCTCTTATCACCAAAGGGTACCAGACATTGCTGTTACGTTTCGCAGAAAGAGTCCAAAAAGGTATTATTAACTAAGTAGTAAATATTAACAAGCCAGAAAACATGCCTATCACTGTATTATTTACTTTGGGAAGGTTTGACATTGCATAAAAAGAAAATGAATACTAGCTCATGCTCACGGTTACTTATTCTCCATGAACTACGCCAGACAGAAAGTGAAACTACTAATAAGCATTTTCTTTTAAAAAGGCTCAAAAGAAATATAAATGTCAATGATTTTTAATTGATTTTTTAAATATTTAGTAACTAAAGAAAAACAAATACCTGATCTCCAACTGTCTTCAACTACATGTTGGATGAGCCCTCCAAGGAAAGGAACTCGGACCATTTCCAAATGTTCCAAGTTTCGGGCAGAGGCTAAGCCTGTTACTAGAGGGACATATTTCAAGGAGTTTGTTGGTCCTGGGGGGGGGCGGAGAAAAAAAAACCTCAGTGAAACAATATAAATTGCCTTAAAGGTGAATTTTCAAATCAGCAGCTGAAACAAATAATTTGTAAATTCTATGTCAGAGAATGACAGCCAACCAAGTGTTGGCTCTCTGTAATTTCCACTTACTAGAGTGAATGCATTAGCCTGTTAACCATATAATATTTATTGAGTGCAAAGATTTTTCAGCAACACTGGAGAGGTGTTTAGTATTTTTTATAAATTCTCTGAAGTCTCAATAGTTTTGAGCTCAAAATAACTAAGGGGGAAAAAACCAAGTTGAAAATTTGATGCTTCACACAGGTAAATAGCTCAGTCATTTAAGTATCTCTCTCTATGCAACGACTCTTGTATGAGGTGTTACAGACAATCACAAAAGATATAGTCCGGTCGGTCAAAGAGCTTGCGATTGACATGGAGACAAAACTAACACGAAAAAAATATAGAAAGATAAAAAGAACATATCAAGTACAAAAATAAGATCTTCTACACTATATAAAAAAGAAAAAAGAAGGGAAGAGGAAGGGAAGAAAAAAGAGGCAGAACTTGAAGGCGGTTTACAAGTAAAGAGGAGGAAGCATGCGTGTAACTCAGGACAAGGCAATGATAATAAAGTATCAGGGAAGACGCTGAGGTGAAGGTGGCAGGAGACAATGAACAGGCAGGCCTGACCAGAAAAGAAGGTGTGTCTTAGAAAGGAGTCAGATGATATCAAGAGGGGCCATGGTTACTATGAACTCTAAAGCAGAATAGTTCCCACTTGACACTCTTGGGAAGCAGAGACACTGAAGGTTTCTGAACAGAATAATATCAGAAAAGCCATGTTTTATGCGTTTAGGCAGGTTAGGTCAAACAATTATTTACATGCAGAATGATTAGGAGACCAGAGACAAAGAGGCAAATAGAAATCTATTCAAACAATCCTATAAAATGTAAAAGTGCCTATAAGAAATGGAGACATTGTGATAGGGCCAAACACAAATCATGTGTCTTTTGTCTTTAAAACAAAACGTACATTTATCTTCACAAGGTAAGTTACAAAACATAAACAGTAAGAGAAAAATATAATTTCACTTACAAATGCAGCTATGGAGCTTGCCTTAGGCTATTTGTAGAATTCCACCATAACTATGTACCATTACCTGCACAGTTCCTCATGACGAAAGTTCGTAAGCTGATGCAAAGAAAGTCTTTGAATGGCTGTGGCTTAGTGAGTCTTACCCACTTCATATAAAGGTGCCTTAGCATTGGGATACAAGGAATTTCAGGAACATTCACCCCTAAAACATATATACAAAAAAAGAATCAACAAGAAAATCACTAAAAGACTGTATTCTGGGTATAAGTTCAAGAGTCTACTTTTCAAGCTGACAATTTATCCTTCATGAATATTTTCATCAGAACAAATTACCTTATTAAAGTTGTAAGATTGGTGTACTTAAAACAGTCTTGTAAAGAACATTTTAAACAAACCATAAACAGACAAGTATGTTGTTATTTCTTTAGAAAAGGTATATAAGAAGACAAGATTAAAAGGTATTTCTGTATATTATACACATTAAGTCTTTGTCATAATTCTACAACCCTTCCAGGATATATATGCCCAGTAGGTATCAAATGAAAATAGGTTATTGACAGCAAAATGAAGATGATGTAGAAGGAATATACAAAATTACTATCTGTCTACCAATGCCCGATGTCCCAACAGTGGGAAAACTAAATTTCTCAGCACAAAGGCAGGCTAGCTGGCTTTAAATAACATTGTTTCAGGATGACATCCTGAGACAGAGAATAAAGCTATTTCTACAAATGTATGAATCTTAAGGATTTATAAATGTGTGGTAAGAGTCACTCAGCATGACACTGAGAAGTGAGAAACCTGCCAGTCGTTTGTTTTAAAATTTCAAATTGAGAAAGGTATTTTATCCTGATTCATGAGTGGCTTAAAGCAGGAATCACACCTGAGGAGGACCATGTCTGGGAGAAAGGGGATGTACAGTGGGAGGAAAATTCAGGAGATACAGAAGAAGAAAGAAGCTAGGAAAATCTAGTAAATTCTAAATGGAAGGAAACAGTTCGAGAAACTCGCCCAGGAGTCTAAACACTGTAGGCTACAGAAAAGCCAGGAAGTGACACACATCTCTGAGGGAAAACCAGGGAGTCACCGTGATGGCATTTAATAAGTGGTAGTTGGCAAAACCAGTGTAATGCAACTTTTAAACCTGTGTCAGTAGAAGCCCTGCTAGCAACAGTAACTAGAGAAGGCAATACTGGAGTCCTTAAATGGCTGGTTCTTTAAAAGCTAAGTTCTACAGAAAGCTCCTACTGTACAGATGACTCCTTAACCTGGTCCTCCCAAAAAAGCATGGTTAACTTTAGTTTTGAACTATGCAGACACATTGTATGGCAACAGTGGGGGAATAAAGCTGGGGAGGAGAACAAAGGAAGAAAAGGAGAGGAAGTAGGGTGTGGATTAGGACTCCAGATACAGAAACCACAAAGGTACGTTCAGCATCTGCCATGATAGTGGCAGTTCTGATTAGAAAACCCAAGGCAGCAAGGGTGAGACACAGCCAGGCAGCTACATCCTAGGCCCAATCCATATTTTGCCCCAAATTTAGTCTATAGACAGAGGACACAACTACCTGTCTTCCCCAGCATGTTCGTTAATTTACTACACACATTTGTCTCACCGTCACAGTGTTAAACTGTTGAATGAATCAAATGACATAATGCATTTCAATAACATTTACCAAGTACTCATATCTACAAATGAACTGTGACAGGCATCATGATAAGTATAAAGATACAAAAACACAGCCTCTAAGTTTACAGAGTTATATTATAAACTTCAGCTATAACTGCTAAAATCCAATTTCAAACTGGATATCCAGGTCCCTAATCAGAGCTACCCGTGATCTTATAAATGAAGGGTAGCTAGAGAGCTTTACTCTTCTTCCATAACTGTGCACACGCGTCTTATTTCAGACCTCCTCCTCATCATTCCAGCTGCTCTCCCTTCACCACCTGACCCAGCTGCAGTCGCTTCCAGTTCTTCAGGACCACCCTCCAAACATCTGGAATAATGCTTGGAACATAGCAGATACTCGATATGTGTTAAATAAAACACTTAATAAATAAATATTAGAATCAGACTATAGTAATAGGAGGGCCCCCAAATTCCTTTCAGCAACCTAAGCCAAAGTCAACAAATTAAATTGGAGAAAATATTTGCCCTCATCATTTACTTAGGTTGAAATTATTTGGACATAATGTCAGAGAACCTTCAGATGGAGAATGTACACTATGACCATTGAAAACAAGGCGCCTTTGGGCAAAGACTACACCTGCCCCACTTCTCAGGGAAAAACAGAAGCAGCAGGGTTTCCACTGGCTCTGGGTTGAAGGGCACAGCAGCATTTTCTGCTTGGAGAAGACACAAGTAAACTAAGAGTGATCTAGGACTTCTTTACTCTGCGGTGTTCTAGAGCTGAGCTGTATAATCAAGTGGCCACTAGCTACATATAGCTATTTGATAGATTAACGTTAAATGAAATAAAACATTCAGTTCCTCTGTTTCACTAGTCACAGCAGAAACCACATGGGATAGTACCAATACAGGACATTTCTAGCATCCCAGACAGTTATACTGGCGAACTCCCCTCCAGAGGGTAGTACTAGGACCAAAAGGTGGATGTCAGAGAACAAGGGTAGGGTTCAGACTCTTTGAAAAAAACCCCAAAAAACCCAACAACTTGCAAAACTACTCAAACTGTCTTCAAAAAAGGGAATAGGCTGGTTGTGAAGCAGTATTTCTCTCATCCCTCCTGCCTCCCACCCAGAGCTCTTTAACGGGAAATGTTTATACAAGTCTCACAAGCGTATCTTTTGCCATCACCAGTCAATAAAGCCATTTCCAAAATTCTCATTATTCCCTTTCAGTGACTATTCAGTTATATGGCATTTCAAAGGAGTCACAAGTGGCCCAAGAAACATGTACTCACCCACTAAATGTAAAGTTTGAATTTTGGCTCCTACAGGAATTTTCAGTTTATTTTCGGGAGGAATGGGAAATGCTCCATTACGATTACGAAATTTCCCCAAAATATGAACATGCGGCATGTATGTCCAAATGGATTCTACCAATTCCAAATGAGAGGTCTCCACACCCTAGAAAATAATGCCAAAGCAAGCATAAGAAAAGCTTTTAATTGAGCATCCGAAGCTTCTATTTCTGTATCATAAGTTATTAAGTATGCAACGGGGCTTACAAGTTTGTTATGGAGGAAATTTACATGTGCGTGAAGATGCTCTATCACTCTTTCTATTTACTTCCTCAATTCGTTTACATCAAATGTTCAACCAGATGCACTCACCACTAAGTTTGGGCATGCCTGCAAAGCTTCCAGGACTCCTGGAATGCTAAAAGCTTCATGGCCCCGTACCCTTCGCCTCTCAAGGTATCTGGGATGAAGGCCATATAGCTGTTCGACGTCTGGCATCTTCTTTAATAGTGTCAGAAAACTGGAATCTGTGAAACCTGACAAGTTCAAAGGTATTAGATTAGAGCCAAGTTCATCTTTCTGTTCATCAACATTTACTAGATGCTTGTAATTTTTATCAAAAGTCAACACAACAAAAAAAAAATTTTTTTTTTTTTATGTTCATAAGGCTAACACAGCTAAACAATGGCTAAACAGAAATATATTCCTTGAGTAACAGAGGAAATGTGTTGGAAACTACATTTTTTCTGAGTTAATACTTTATAGTTGAGGCTTTTAACTTCTTATTGCCTTTTTTTGTTCTTGTTGCTGCTTTTAAGGCACAGAAATCTTCAATGAGGAACAACATACTTTTAACCCAGATAACCTGGACTATGTGACTGGTGGGTAAGGAAGGACCACCTACCTGATCAACACCACCTTCTTCCTCCCCCAAAAGTACTTTCTGGTCCATAAAACCTCAAGGGCTCTGCAGAGCACGCAACTAAAAAATGAGTAAGATATGATCCTCATCTTCAGGAAGCTTACAGTTCTAACCTAAATCCCATCTCAAACAAGATTCTCTTCATGTATCCATTTCTTAATTACTCTACCCTGGGTTCAACTATCACTCCCTGGACATGTTAGACAATTCGTTCTTTTGACAAAGACAGACGCGAGTTGCTACGAGAACATAAGTGATCCAATCTGAGAGGACGCTGGGCTGGCAGAGGGCTCCTTAGCTGTAAGGCCAGTTGTGCTCCCAGTGGGAATTGCCAGATGGAAACAGAGGGGGGCAGGTTACTTCCACAGTGGAAGGTGCTGGTGACATAAGTAGGGAGACAAGTCTCATACAGATGGTACTTTCTTATCTGGGACTTTTTGTTTTGAATGGAGGCAGTCAGAAAGCCAAGTGCTCATGAATGACAAATAAAAATATTAACACTCAAGAATAAAAATGAAGCCTAAGTCTTATACACTACAGTTTTCAAAGGTTGTTCTATTTGTACAGGGCTAGTCCAGATGATACGTTATCTTTACAATCACGAAACTGAAGATAAGAAGGCACCTCATAAATGATTTGGTCTCTCTAATTATAATAACAGTTCATATTATTACCTTATAGTCAGTATAGTAACCTTTACTGACTGAACTATTCAGTGTTAACCATTTTACATGGTTTCTTATCTATTCTTACAGCCAATGAAAAAGCTTACCACCCCCTTTACAAATGTTAAAAAGAAAAAGATCTTGGAAGAGTTTAAAAGCTACCAAGTGCCAGAGCCCAAATTCAAAACCAAGTCTGCCCACTGCCAACATCCATCCTCCCCACTTTTGTTGTACACTACATGTTGCCTCTCACTAAAACGTGGTTCAAGTTCAACCTCCTTGACAGAGATGGTGTGAGAATCCAAAGAAATCACATATGTAAACCATCAAGTACCGTATAAAAACCTTAGTTACACAGAGGACCGGGGTTTAAACTCCAGGGAACAGGTCCAGATGCATTGGTAGCAGGATTAGTGAGATCTTATTCTAGCCTACAGACTGTGTGCTTTGACTCTCTTTATATTCAGTGCAGGGACGGGAAGCTTTGGGCTCACAGGTATTTCTCATCGGAAGGAAGACAGCAATGGGCATACAAGCTCTTCTAAGACTGTATCACGTGGGCGCTCCACTATCCGCCCCTTTATACAGAGCTCTGATCCCTTCTCCAGGATCCCTGCTGGCCTAACCTGTCAGAGCAAATCCAATATAAGAAATGACCATCGTTTTCACACAGCCCTCATTTCTTCCCTCCTGCTATAAATGATCACACTCTGGAATAAGATGACTCCTGCTCCTATAGGATGGTGTCTTTAAAGTATTTAAAGGCATTGTGGTTTGCTTTCTACCGAGCTAAGCGCTAGCCTCAGGTCTTTGTAATCTTCTTCAAAGAGGTAAATATTGGTAAATAACTTTGGCCCACTGGTAAGAGTTACCAGCTGACAGATGACCCTCTTGCAAGGATACAGTACCCCAAACGGTACAATAATCCACCACTCCAGAGGTAGTCTCCATGTTCCACACAACAGGACAGACCAAGACAATTATCGCCTTAGCCCTTCACTTCTATGAAGGCTCCTGGCTACCCAGTCTCATCACATTTTCTAAATATCAGAATCTGGACATTGTCGACAAAAGGTGGTTTAAAAAAACATTTAAAATGGCTAAACAACAGTAAAAAAAAGGGCGGGGGGCACTAATGAATGGATTGGTGTTAACCAAAAAGAAGCCTGACTGGATCTTAATTTTAATTCTTGCCTTCCAGGTGTGTTCTGCTTAACAAAAGTCATCAATTTTCTTTCTTTGTGGTCTCTTTACCTGAAGTCCATTTGGTATGGTTTGACCTGCAACGCCAATGCCTTATTTGAGAATCTCCAAGACCTAATACAGGCCTTTTAGTAGTGCTAGAGAAATTAAAGTTCCAGAAGTGGAATTTCTGTGGCCTACTAGTGCAGCTTTACACAAACTGATACATATCTGTTTAACCAGAGGTACATTAAGGGGTGCAAGAAAACTATGAAAACCTGTAGGGTAGAGCAAAGACACTTTGTCTAACGTGACAGACATACATTTAGTTAATAAAAGGCTCAATTAATATTCTCTAATCATATACATTGTCGAACAGGCTGATGTAGTTCCTTAAGGGAGCAGGAAATGAAAACAGACCACTAAAACAGTAAAGCATCAGGCAAAATGTGTTGTATCAACCTAAACAAACCTAAATACTTGAGATAAAATCCTGCCTCCCTACTTATAAGGTGATTCCGATTGCCTATCTCAAGACAAGTAACATTTGATGGGAACATTACTGTTAGTTTCCAGTAGGGCTCCACTGTACCTTCCAGGCCAAATCTACTTACCACTTGGCATGTATTCCCACCACCGCCCTGCACAGAGATCCACAACCCTCACAACTCTCAGATACAGGGTCACTGCTTCCTTTAGCTTCCGGGAAAGACATTCCATACACATGATATCCTGCAGAGGGAGGTACCTTTGTGAGAGAAAGAAACTTGTATTTATCAAGTGGGTAAGTATTTTCCTCTCCCTGATGGGAGATTTTATTTCTTCCTCCATTCTCCAACCCCGTAAATGAAATAAGACCTTAGGAATTCACAGGGTTTTAAGAGTAACATGCATATAAGGCTTTTTATTAAAAACAGATAAAGTCAGCAAATATTTAAGTAATGCGTTCCCTACACAAGGCATTTGATAGAACTTCTCCTTTTATGTTTTTAAGGATAAAGAAAATCTCAAAAGACAAAATAAGGAAGAAAAATATCAGTAAAATTTCAAGGCAACTAATAAAGGAATGTGAGGAAGGTCAGAGAGAAATAATCAATTTGAACATGGCCAATGTTATTTCATAGCTTTTACAAAATCCACTTCCTGTGATGGCTAAAAAATTCCTCTGCTCCCTCACCACCGCCCAGAAACTCTACTATTTTCTCCATCAATAAATATGTATACTGAGTTTATAGTATATAATTTTTTCCCAGATCTTTTACCTTTTAGACCACACGCTCTGATAAAAGCATTGCATAAGCACTAAGTGAGACACTTCATCTGAATAACAATTTCCTATATCCAACCTCCTGTTATTTCTTCCTTCCTGAAACTTTTCAACTACCCTCTACTTTTGTTCTGTTTCCTGTAATACCAATATATATTTTGAAAGATCAGAAAATGTCTTTCTCTCTCTTTCTTAACATTCTCCATGCACACCTAGATTAATTTTTTTCTTTTTTTTTTCTGGTAAACACTACCCTTTATTGAGCTGGTTTGTCACAGACAATGTAAGGAAGTTACTGTTTCACAATTTTACAAGCTAGGTTGTTGTTTGCCTGCCACACAGCCTTCCCCCAATCCTTTTTCTCCTTTTTCTTCCCGTCTCTGCTCAGCTGAGTTCCCTTCCCCTCTGGCTATCAGGTGACTTTGGCCACTTTCTGCTGTTGCAAGTCCCCTAGTTCAATTCTCCAACACCCCTCATTGATTCCCTTAGCCCTCCCCACAACTCTCTAAATAGTCCCTTCATTAAATTATCTTCCAGTTCCAGCTGAGTGTATCTTGTTTCCTGCTAGAACCCTCACTGATATAGGTGCTATGACTCCATTTTGCAAGTGGTGAAACTGGCTCAGAAAAGATAACCTGCAAAAAGTCAACAGCTAGTTAAGTGGGAGGGAGAGCAGGGATGGCTCCACAGACGGGTCTAAGTCTAATTCCCAAAAATTAAGCTAATTCTAAAACAAAAGTCCAAGTATGCCTGCTGAATATTTCTCTACTCTATTTTTTCTACCTCTGCCCCTCTCCCTTCCTCTTTAAAACTATTTAAATCGAGAATCAAATCAAATTCTCTACAGGAAAAGCATTATTGCTAACTTCATGTACATTCTCCACAACTCAGTATAAGTAGCACAATTTTCAGAAACTATACGACTTAACATTTTATAACATTTAATGAAAAATATTGAATTTGTTTTCTAAATCAAGTTTGCCACTAAAACATTTTCCCCCAAAATGACTGTTATGCAAAATATTTGCCTGAGTTAATATTATACTCCCTTTAAATACAAACAGATCAGTAATCACCTGAAGTTTATCTTATATCATATTTGCCCTCAGAAAAACAAATGTATTTTTTTTTCATATATAGTCAATAGGCTGGAGTTCAAAAGGCAGATCAAATACATTTTAGAAAAGATGTGTTTAACATGGCACATAGAGCAATGGTTATGTTTCTTTTAAGGAAGCCATTGTTTTTCTTGTTTCATTAAAACATGCTAAGTACTACAAAATAACAACATGGGTCCTCAAATAAAAACTTTAGAAGCCTAAAAATAATCTTTTTTAGAATTAACACCTCATACCAAATTCAAGTGTTCAGCTTAGTTCTTCTTACATTCTGCCAACTGCTGCATGTTTTTTTACATTATAAGTAGGGTAACATCCTTCTAGATTCTTACCCTTCCATCTGAATATTGTCTGAACTGAAAAATTTTATTTGATCCATTCTCAATTTAAAAAATGGTACAATTTGTTCATAGCATGTCCTACCATTATTCAACAGCATCTAACACACATGCCTGGAAACAATTTTAACTGAATTCTTCTAGAATTTTAATAGCTTTATTGTTTATTTCATTGATGCATTTAGAATTTAGTCATCAGATATGAGAGATAAAAACATGCTTTTATTATTTTCTCCAAATAGTTTTGAGGTTGTAACATCATTGCTGAATAATCCACAAAATTCTTCCTCGTTGGTGTGAATGCCAAGTTTATCACAAACTATTATAAATCCCCACATATATTTGAGTCCGCATATGGAGCCTATATATAAAGCTTGTCTGTTTTACTCAACTGTCTGGATATCTCCTCCAATACCAAATTTTTAATTATTGTATATTTTAGAATATACTCGTATTTGAACATCTGGTAAGGTTAGACTCTTTTTCCAAAAAATTTAGCTATTCTGGCAGACTTCTTTCTGCCAGATCAACTTCAGTATCATTTTGTAATGTTAAAAAAAATAAAAAGTGTTATTTTATTGGGTTGTCGGAAAAGTCATGACGTATTTTTTCTATGTTTTTCATTGCAAAAATGAGTCATGACTTTTCCAACAACCCAATAATCAAGCCTTCTATGCCCAGATAGAACTGAAATAACAAAAACTACACTATGTGACAGAATAAGAAACCGCAGAAGACGAGGACTAATGCAAATTTATGTAAGAAAAGTGAAGTGCTCATGGGTCCCCAAAGTAACTCTGCTATCACTATTTTACAATTTCTTAAACTCACATACTCAATAATTTTTAAAAATTCAAAACATTTCTAAGAACTTTATTTATGGAAATTTCCCCTAGGTAAATAACCTAAAATAAATGAAAATCCAGCTTAGAAAAGTTCATTGTAATTGTATAAAAGAACTGGAAACAATCCAGACGTTAAGGAATCGTATCACAGGAATAGAACACAGTGACTAAAATGATACTTATGAAGACCATGTAGCAATATGAAAATCGGCAGTACACAATCAGAACCATTACCACTTACCAAACCTTTAAGCCATGCAATGTGTTAGGTGCTTCAAAAGCATTATCTCACTGAATCCTTATAATAACTTCTTTCTGTCTATCATTGGTCCACAGCTAGTAAATAAGACTCAGGATCCAAACTCAGATCTCCAACTCCAGCATGTTAGGAATTATTTGAATGGATAATGACTGAAAGAAGGGAGCAGGGGAAACTAGAATGACAGGGGTTTTGTTTGTTTGTTTTGGGTTTTTGTTGTTGCTTTTTTGTTTATTGTTATAATGCAGTTTGGATTAAAATATAATTTTAAAAAAGATTTTGAAAAAAGTTTATCACAAAACAACTTAAATATGTGCACTGCATATGGTAATGATGGGTATTATTTCACTAAACTTTTGTTTCAATCACTTACATACATGCATCTACTACTCAAATTGTGTGTGTCTCACTGCGGGTGGTAGTCAGAAAGTCAGAAACACTGCCTTATGTACATAGTACTGTAATAACAAAAGTCAACAAATCAGTAAGAACTCCAGGCTGTCTAATCAAACTTCCTGCAGCGAAATTAATACATATTCTCTACCTTCACCATCTGTGCTGCCCTATACAGTAACCACTAGCCACATATAGCTACTGCAACTGAGGAACTGGATTTTAGGTTTTATTTAACTTAAATTTAAATGCCATATGTAGCTAGAGACTACCATATTGGACAGCGTAGCTCTGGGATTTGTTTGTACTTACACATCCCAGGTAGGTGTATGTCAACCCAAAGTCTTACCTGAAAATATGGCAAAGCACTTCATGTGAAAGTTGATTCATATAGTCTTTCGTTTCATCTGATAGCGCTTCCTCAGGGATCTCATTATTCATGAGACAAGTTTTAACACTTTTCTTTCGTGGACCCATTGCTGCGTTATCTCCAGTATCAAAGAGCAAATCTCTCCTCTTGGTTACTTGAGTTCAAAGCACCTGAAACCAAGCAGAGAAGAGACTAAAGCACCCAACCCAGACACAGAAATTATCGCTAGAAATTATCGCCAGAAAACCTAGGTGAAACATTTCAAAATACAGGCAGGCGAAGGTAGTGGTATAGCAAATGGTACAGATCACATTCAAATTAATGAAAATATTACACAAAAGGCACAGAACATCGTTTTCTAAAGAGCAGTAGAGAATACAGAAACGCGTTATTTAGAATGAGTAGCAATCTAAGGAACCAGGGAACCTGGATTCTAATTTGTTCTCTCATGCTTCCTAGCTAATTTACTCAATTTCTCCAAACATTGATTTCTTCATCTGTAACGCAAGATCTCTCACTTCCCACAGTCACTTGATCGGCTGGCTATTCTTATCAATTTTGCCACGATACTGCTCTTGCATCCAATCCCACTGACTCTCAGGCCTCTATCAACCCTCACCCGGGCTACTGCAGTGGCTTCCAAAGTGATGGCTACCACTGTACCCCCAGGGTCTGGCACAAAGACCACCATACAGTAGGCCCACAAGAAATAATCTGCTGAATAAATGCTTACCACCACAAAGAAGCTAGTTAGCTTTTAAAAACATTTCTCTGATTGCAGATTAAGTGAAAATAGCAAGATGCTGAATTTGCATACAAAAAAAAGGACAGATATGTTTGTGTTTGCATGGGACAATTCTGGAAACATCCATGACAAAATATTAACAGTGGTTACCTCTGGGGCGTGAGAACAGAGGTTTAGGAAAGTAAGAAAGAGGCTTTTACTTTTCATATTCTCCACTGTTAGAACATTTTAGATTGATCATGTATATTATATTTCTTTAAAAACAAAC